ACCAGTTTGCATTCCTCTGTGTAACAGGTTACACAGATGCCCCAGACCTGCCAGTCATGCTGGTGTGACTATAGTTATACATATCTGATCTCAACTGATCGACAGAATACCATCACTGTAATACCATCTATATATTACATAAGTGATTATCCAAATTTCACCATCAGTAGGTTTTGAACTCCCAACCTACCACTTGGAGGTATGACAACTTATCCACTTCACTAATTCGCCACACTCTATAATTTGAATATGTTAAAATTTCAAATTCATTAAATAAATCAATTACTTTTTTCTTATAATCAACAATTATTACATAATTGTCGATATGATAATAATCAAAAATTTCTTGATTCTGGTTTGTTAAATAATATTTAAAAAATTTATCAGCATTTTGAAATTGCATATTATAATCTGAAAATAATAATATATTTTGCTCAAACATTGTTTATATATCTTTTCAAAATCATCATTTTCAAATTTACTCATTACAATAGACATTTTTAGTTAATAAAAATAATTTGAAAATATTTAAATATTTATTTATATAAAAAAAAATAATATATATAATAATAATAATAATAATAGGAGTATGGCGACCTAGTGAAGTAGTCAGGTTGTCAACCTCCAAGTGGCAGGTCTAGAGTTCAAATCCTATAGACGATAAATTTTGAAAAATAAAGTCTGTGTTACAGTAACTGTCTCTGTCGATCAGTTAAATTTGTGTATCTGTAACCTTTGTTGCACCATCTCGAATGGGAGCTTGGAGCATCTATGCAAAATGTAATATTATACCCACATAGAGGAATATTAATAACTGGTGTTATATAAGACTTCAGTGCAAACCCATGATAAGACCATCGGGCATAGAAAGCAAAGGAACTAAAGAGTCAGAAACTTACTTGGAAATCTCAAATAAAGAGGTAGCATGGACTTTTGATGATACTACTGAACCATCAGAAGCCCCCAAAAAAGAATTACTAGGACCTCAGATAGATTGAATGACAACATGTGTAGAGGAGCATATACCAATTAGGCTACCAGGTTTGCCAGATGGGCCATCTGAATTGGTAGTTTAGGAAGTCTTGTAGATCTTGTGGGTCTTGTAGATCCAGAAGTAGGGGTGTGTAAGTTAGAAAAGAAAGGTATCGGGGTTCTTGTGAACTTTACAAAGGTATAACAGTTTAATAGTTAGCCCTGACTGCAAGTAATGGTTTAGGCCAGAGCGGTACTAAGTTAGCTGTAAGTATAGGATATGGAAGGCTCCAGTGGGCTTAGTATAAAGTTAAACATGACTTAGTAACCATGATATAAATTTGCAGCAATGGCTGCAGTTAATAGGGTAGGGGTGGATATAAGAACTAGAGTGTTTAAATAAAGAACCCACAGGCAGGTTCTAGATATGGCAACTAGTGTAGAACCTTTGGGCAGACTACTTAAAATAGACAATGACTAAAGTTGTATGAGTGGCTAGTTGTACACTCTTTTCATGATTGCTTCTGTAGCTGTTGTACATAATAGTTATATGCTAATTGATTATCAATAAACTCCTAAGTCACAATTACTCACCTTAACATTAAAAAAAAAATAAATAAATAAAAATAATAATATAATTAATTATCTATTTTAATTTTTTTTAGTTTAATAATATTAGTTTCTGTATTTTTACATTTACCTGATTAATATTTTGGATGAATTTTAATCTTTTCTTATAACTTTTTATATAAGACATTAATATTTTTAGGAATTATAATATTATCAGGTAAATCTGCTTCTCAGTATTTGTTATAAACCCAGAAACTATTTTCTTCATAATTTATATTACAAATTATGCCTCTCAAAACCCAATTAATATTAACTTGACATTTTAGATATATACTATCATCATTTTTATATAAGTTTTCAAAATCATCATCATATACATAATTCTTAACTTCTTTAATATCTAAATCTTCTTCAAACTTAACATTAAATCTACTATTGATAAATAATTGTATATCTTCAGATTGGTAATTATCAATAATTTCAATTATAAATTTTACTCATCCATTATGAAAATCTCCTTTCAAGTTAATAATATATCCATGTATAAATGATTTTGATTTTGAAAATCTTCTATGAATAGCTTTTTTCTTTTCAAAACTAATTTTTGGTTTTTTACTAAAAATACATGTTCTGTAACTAAAAGTATCATCAAAAGAATTTTGAGATATGATCACATTAAATTTTGCTACTATATTTACAAGAAGTAGTTTTTTTCAACTAATTGAGCATCTGTCTTTCTCAGTTAATTTTAAGAAGTCTTCAATATCCCATAAATCATATTTGAATTCTTGAGTATATATATATTCTTGATTATAATATTCATTAATATATTAATTATCTTTAGCTTTGTCACAAATTTTTTAATTATATAATTCATCTTTAAGAAATTTAGTTAATGCTCATACTAATTTTTTAGTTGTTTCTGATTTTCTAGTTACCAAATCACCATAAAATAAAAAATTTTTTGAATAGTGTTTTTTGTGATATATAAATTTAATAGTATTTTTTAATAATTTTTAATTCTTTGTTATTATTTTATAAGATGCTGAGTTATCATACCATGATAATAGTATTTGATCAGAATTCTGTATTGCTTGATAATAACTTATAAATTCATCATGTAATTTTGTCTTTCTGTTAATATTATCAAGTTTAGTATTATTAATTTTATCAATAGTCTCATCTGAACTGCCAACTATAAATCGATATTTTCCAAAAATAAATGAACCAGAATCTAATTTATCTTATTGTTCTGTTCTTTGTTCTTTACAACAATTGTTATTGCATAATTTATATTTGCCCAATTCATCTAATTTAAAAAAATCACACTGACAATATTTTTCTATATTTGGGTTATGATGAATCTTACATCATCAATATTGTTTTAATACATAATTTTTAGCATCTTGAGAAGTTCCATATAACAAATCACCTGGGAGAAATGAAATTTTTTTATCTTTAAAAATTTTTTTACACTAGATATTGTAAGTTGATGACTAAATTGTAAAAAGATATGAGCATGCAATCTTATTTGCATTGTCTGTTCAAATTTTGCAACACTTCTAGTCAATATGTTTTCAAAACTATCATATTTTTCTTGATTTCTAGAAATGAATATTGACATTCGATTTCTTATTCTTTACAATTTAAACAATTTATATTATTACAAAGTGCAAGTTTACAGCATTGGGTACATTTTTCTTCTTTATATCTCCAATGATTTTTTTTACAAAGTAAATATTTTGGTAATTCTTCTGTTTGATCAAATTCTTGTTTACATATTTTTCTTTCTTTTTCATCAATTCTGTTTTTCTTTAAACATTGATATTTTTCATTACAATTAATACAATGAAATGTTGTTATCATCATAAAACAAAATTTATAACTTATTCTCATATTAATTACTTAAAAATATAAATTAAAATATTAAATTTATGTAAATAAAATTCTACTCAGTACCAATGTACAAAGTAGAAAATATTTTTATTAAAATCGATATTTGTTAATTACATAATATTTGAAATATATTTATTATCTTTTACAAATGATTTTATATGTTTTTATGATCGTAACATTGTCACAATAGAATGAAATTTGATCTCAGTAAAATCAATATCAAAAAAATTATTATTTTTTATAGCAATAGCTCTGTTAAGAGAAATATAACAATAAATATTATTATTGATAGTTGTTATAATATATGATTGAATGATAACATTTTTTTCTATAAACAAGAATTGTAAATGTAATAATATATCTTCTAATTCAAAATCACAATTTAAATATACAATTTGTATATTCTTACACCATAAGTAATAAGATAATGACATTATAAAATATATTTAATAATTATTTAAACAAAAATAATTATATAAAATAGCTGGCTCGTGAAGCTTGGTATTCTGTTATATATTTGTGTACTCTCAAAACCAAAAGGTCAATTTCTTTTTCAAATACAAAATATAAAAAACATTAGGGAAAATAGATCTTTATATAGTTTTTTTTAATTAGTAAATTTGTAAATTAAAAATTTATGTTTTCATGATACATGGATGATCAATCACACACATAAGTGTAATGTAAAAAATATATGAACATCAATGATTTTACATAGTATATCATTTATATAACAAATAATTTACAAAACCTTATTTTCTAAAAATATAATTTATTATATCTATACAAAAAATTCAGTATGTTGGTAGAATGAAACCTATTTTTTGTTAATAATAAAAGTTTTAGATAATGTTTTGAACTTTTAGAATCTCTGTTTATATAACAAATGATGATGAACTCAAAAAATTACAATCTTTTTTGTGAAGAGAACCAGCAATAAATAAAACTATTTATCAACATAAAATCAGTTTCAAAAAATATTTTTTACTAGTTACCATATAAAATGCTACTAATTAAAAATGTTGCTAGTATTATTTTATATTAGAATCTAGATTTTTATCAAAAACTAACAAAAACTTATACAGATATTTAGATTTTTTGTTTGAAAAACATATACATTTTTCTTCTTAAAAAAAAAAAATTGAAGGTTAATATCCAGTTGAATATCTTCGTCAAATAAAATAATCAATATGATATTAAATAAGTTAGTAGTGATGATTCATAAGATTTTTTCTATAAAATTTGAGGTCAAAAAAATCAATATTTGTAAAATTATCCTAATTTTTGATGAAATGTTTTTCTTCTTGTCTTTGCAAATCTCTTTTTAAAAAAGCTGTCAGTATTAAAATTACGATTTACACAAAATTTTATTAATAAAATAATAAATATCATTCTAAGAAACTAGCATTATTTTTAGCTTTTGTATATATTTATTTAAGACTATAAAAATAAGTTTCATAATAAAAGTTTTCATGAATTATGATTTTTCTTGAATGAATATTTAACATATGTATTTTTTATTAAACTTGTATTATATATAAAAATATTTTTTTACTTGTATAATAAAGATTAAAAACAAAATAAGAAATATGATTAGTTAAAAAAAACAATTAGTAAAGCTTCTTTCTAATTAATTAGTAATCAGCTTTACTAATTATTTTTTACTATGTAAACTGCAGTTTGACAATTAGTTTAGCTGGTTACTAATTAAATTTACTAATTAAATATATAATAATTTAATTAGAAAGGAGATCAACTAAATGTTTTTTCATGAAATAGGGTGATCTGATTGGTCAAACCATTGGTTTATTATTAAAAAAACAATTAGTCAAACTGGTTCTATATTCTCAACTAAAACATTATTACATAATCAAGATTCATGTAATTTTACTTTTATAGAAACATAATATAGTTATTAAATAAAATATACATAATCAATAATTAGTGTTATAGTTGATTTTTTTTAGACAAAGTACTTGGGAATTATGTTCTCAAGTACTTTGTATCTATATTAAAAAAAATCATTAAAAAATATTATATATAAAAGTTCAAATAACAATAATATTATTCAAGTTTATAACTTGATTATTATTAATATAAGAAATATAAGCATTAATAAATATAATTATAAAGGACATAAAAACATAATAATTAATTGTAAATTAGTAATTATAAATGAGAAAAAAAATAGTTTTTTTTTTATAATTAAACTAGTCTTTTGGAGACTAGGGCTTTTTTATTTAGTATAGTAAAACATAGTAACTTATAATCCAATTATCTTAGAGGAATTACTTTATATTAGAGAGTACATTTAGCTATATGTATACTTTTGGTGTCTAATTTAAATAGTCTGCCTATATATAGGTTCTATACTAGTTGTCATACCTGCAACTCAACTATAAGTGTTGTCTATTTAAACCTTCTGTACTGCAATCTTTACTGTATCACTAGAATATCTTCAATACATGATATCAGTTAAAAAGTTCTAAATACATGCTTATATTCTTAGGACTCCTGTTTTATTTTATGCAGATTATTTTCAAGATATTATTATTAAAATCTTTTGTATTCTAATTTATAGTTAAACTTAGTTTATAACTCTTGCGAAGTTTATACAATCCCAGTACCCTCTTTTTACAACCTTAGCAATATCTTGTTACTTTTGCAAATCCTTCTATACTACCAATCCAGTTAACTTTGCATGATGTGACTTTATGCTTGGATCAACTGATGACCAAATTGATAAACTTCCTACTTAAAAGTTCTTGTCTATACAGGTTATCTGCTCCAGGTTTTCTTTTTTGGATCAAGATCTTCACAGATGATACTATTAAAAGTTGTACAACCTCTTTGCTCGAGCTTTCCAAGCAGGCTTCTAATCTGAATATATACTTTGCAGATTTATTCATGTGACATTGCACACTTCCAAAGTTAGTCTTAGTATAACCAGAATTACAAGATCTATAAACCCCAGATCACAAATAAGTTTATCAGAATAGAATCATTTTTTCAAAATCTGTCATTAATAAGAATTAAACATTGAACCTACTGTTTGGAGGATGACAACCTAACTACTACACTAGAATCACTATCCTCAGAAAAAAAAAATTTTAAATTTAATAAATTTTATTTTCTTTATATAAAATTAATTATTATTATAACAAACTACTATAATATTAAGTAAAACACTAATATAAAATAATTGTTCTGTTCTTAAGAATTACTCTATTGAACTTTATAAAAATGATTGTAACCAGCATTTCATTTACTTTTTTTATTTAATAATTAATATCTAGATAACTCTAAATACCTATAATAAAACAATCAATAATTCTATAATCTGATTTTGCTATTGTTATAAGTCAAATGATCATAGTACTTTGTGACATGGTAGTTCTGTAATCATTCACCAATAGACTTAGGTTCTTATATATAATATTTTTTAAAAATTAGGTCCTTATGTGTAGTTATTTTTAATTTGGGCCCGTATTTGTAATTATTTTCACTTTATGAGCCTTTATTTGTAAATTCCCCTTTACGTTAACATTAAAAAATAGTACTGTACGTAGTAACAGTGATAGCAATAGTCGACTTAATCTGTTACACAGAGATCTTGAAATTCGATTCGATAAGTAACAGGTGATATTTGCGCACAATTCTATTGGCCAAATACCAAGAGGTATTGTCGTAAAAATCTGTACTATCAATTTTACTATTATACCTGACATAGTTTTGATTAATTAGTATATCGAAAACCCCACTGTATTGTGTACAAATAAAAATTCTCTTTCTAAAAAATATATAATGTTAACTTTTTTTAAAAATGGTCATAAAAATGTTACAGTCTGTGGTCCGAATCGGTCTTTTGGACCAGTCCAACCGGTTTTCGGTCCTAAATTGAGGTCCTGATCCATAGCTTATAGAATGATCTCATTGGCTAAGAAAACGAAAAAAAATTCCGATGCTCGAAACTAATTCATTACAGTTGTTCCCATTATTTTTGAGACATCTGTAAAAAATTGATCGAATGATTGTTTGGCCGATTCAATAAGTTTTTGATTTCGGTAATGATCGATTATGTACAGGGAAAATTGTAAGTATCGCCTTTACAATAAGAGACGCTAGTGTTGATCAAATATTACAGTATTATTTGAGTGTCATCAAGGGGAAACCTGACATCGGGTTTTCAATTATATTTGTATCACAGTCAGTATCGGTATAATTTGTTAAAGATTGTAAAATGTAATTGAAAATCCGATGACAGGTTTTTCCTTGGCGGCACTGATTTATATTAAATTTGATATTTACAGGTATGGGCCTGCAAATTACCTATTTTTGTGGCCCGGCCCAGCCCGCACTTAGTTTTAAAATTTTTTGCCGGCCCGGCCCGCATATATATAAAAATTTATTACGTACGTATTACAGCTGTTATCATAAATTCTGGGACACCTGGCAAAAATTAGCCAAATGATTTTTCGGCCGATCCGGTTAAGTAATTATAGTATTTGGTATAACGATAATATAGACCAGGGTAAAAATCGCC